ATGGAAGAATCAGTATCCACACAAGCAATCTTTTTTACTAGAATTTATTTTCTATTTTTATGCTCCAGCATTTAAAAAATAAGTAAATAGAGCAACCCTGTTGGGCCCTGGGAATTTAGCACACTTGCAGGGTACATTAGCAATTGGACATTTTACAGCAGGAGTGACTTGTGTGCAGCAGCAATTTTTCTGGACTGTTACAGGCTACCATGGGTAAGAAGCAGTGGGTTTGGTTTTAACAGAGCTGCCAAAAGTGATGTAGAAGGTTTGCAGCAAATCTGTGTAGCTGCTAAATGATCTTAAATTCTGTAGAAGGTTGCTTTGCAGAGGATGCCACAGATCCAGAAAAAGATTTTAAAGATATGGAGCAGGCTCTTATGGTAGCCCCAGCTCTGCAGCTCCAGCAGTGCGGCCTCAACTGCTGTCGATAACATTCCCTGGCTTCTGCAGCTGCAATCTTCTCTCTTCTGGGCCCTTGGGGTATTGCAAGACTAACTTTGCCAAGAGGAAAAGTAGCTTTATTGATATACCCTATCCCAGAGTGTGAAATATTCTCCCATAAGCTCTACTAGTGGTCTTCTAAAAGCTCCCCTTCTTGAGTTGGCCTGTACTGCCTCTTCCCTCTGTATCAGATTTCACCGCCGTGCTTGTGCGGCCTGGCTACAGAGGTGTTTGGGGACCTTTCGCTGGGCGCTCTATAAGGTTTTTGCAACCTCTCAGCTGAAAAGGTCCACAAGCGTTTCAGGCAGCTTGCCAGTTTCTAGCAATAGCTTTCCCCAGCCCTTGGCTGGGAAGAGGCTGCTGCCCGTAGGTTTCTCCCAAGCAATGGCAGCCTCACATCATCTTGCTATTTCAGACCTCTTCGTAAGCCAGTCTTCAAGCTGCTTGGGTTAGAAAGGCACAGAAGGCCTTGCAAGGTGGATACAAGCTTGAAGTAGTAGTAACACCTTGCCCCAAGTGGTTATGTTTGCTTTCAGTCCTAGGGGGAGAAAATGAGGCATCAAAGTGTCTTGGATGTTGCATCTCCAACAGTACTTAGAAGTGAATATTATTGGCTTTTCCAGTTGAGTTGTGACTTAGAATTTTCTTCCTGCTCAGGGTCTTAAGCCCTTTCTGAACAGGAATGAGTTGTCTGTGTTGTTTTGGTGGAGAATGCAGAATGTGTTGTCATTTGACCCAATGGAAATTTGAATGCTTTTTTCCGCAGATGAATTGTTCGCACATTAGAGTGTTGCCATGCTACATGATAGAGGCACTGATAAACAATGAGTGAGAGTCCTTCTGGTTTAGGTTCTGGACAGACGTGCCAAGGAGATAGAATTTGCCTTTGTGAGTTATCACAATAAAGTAGAAATTTGGAGGAAGGAGTATTATCAAGAGTCTCTAGTTAGCAAAACTTGAGGAGACAGCAGATCTTGTCCAAACTCGCATAACAAGACTATGTCAAAGCCAAGAAAGAAATCAAATCTTCTGACTGCATTCTGTGTGTTCATCATCATGAGGCCATTCCTCTGAGGTTTCATTTTTTTTCCTTAAACAGGGAAAATAAAGGATCTCTTTAGTCCCTGGGGTGCCACGGTATGGTCTCCCACTACTCTTGGACGTTCTGCTTTCGGCACTGGAATGTTTCTGTGCTTGTGGCTTGCTCAAGGATTTAAGCCATTTATTTTGTTTGTTTATAATAGAGTTCTGGTGGGAAGGCAGATGTTATGTGGGAAAGCTATTTTCCAGATCAGTTTATCCCCGTTATGTTGAATCTCACAGCACACCAGTAGCAAGTAGCTATTAGGCATCAGCTTTGAGATATTGGCATTTTTAGAAGAAGAAATGTATTAATTCTTGTAAGTAGCTTTGCAGCAAAAACAATGATTCCTTGGCATGCTTTGGCTTGGTGTTTAAAATGGAAATGAGTATGTCTTTGTTTCTATATAGTCATTTGACCTTTTGAAATTTTGGTATTTTAGGAAATGGTCTGTATTTGTTCATGTCTGACAATAAACAGCTGACTTGAATTCCCAAAATACATCGTCTAAGCAATAGTTAGCTATGAAGAGATGGTTCTAAATAAATCTCATTTGAATGCCTGTATTCAAAATTAAAAATCAAGGTTTTCACTTTCATTCATCTTTCTTTACCTTGGCATGTCAGGGTACTTCAAGGAACTTAGCAATTAAATTGTATGCTATTATGGTAGCAGAATAGCCGAAAAGGGCAAGTCTTCAAGTTCCAAAGAATTCCTGTTTCAAAATATAATCTTCAAGATCTGGCCTTCATCTCTCTTCCGCTGATACTTTCCAGCACTGATTTCACAACAGGCTGAATTCACAAATCCTTAAGATTTAGGAGGAAACAAGTTAAGGTTTTATCAGGAAAGAGTCCTAATTGGGGTATCCATGTACTTGTGAAGACCAGAAAGCTGCTTACTCTTAGGTATCTGTTATTCTTGCCAAGAATCTGTAGGCTTGCAAATCGCCAAAGCTGCATGTGTTGAAAGAGCAAAGTAAGCACTGTAGAAAGGCAATTTTTGCATTTTCTTTTTGTTCGGCCAAAGAGATTAGACATAGATGGAAAACACTTTCCTCCTTAGGGGGAGGATGACCACAAAACTAGAGCAATTTTTTTTTTTAATTTGAAGAAAATATATATAAGCACACACTGCGTCGTGTGTTTGAAAGACGCAAAAATCTTAATTATTTTGGGATTTTTCTCAACAGATACTTTCCAGCACTGATTTCACAACAGGCTGAATTCACAAATCCTTAAGATTTAGGAGGAAACAAGTTAAGGTTTTATCAGGAAAGAGTCCTAATTGGGGTATCCATGTACTTGTGAAGACCAGAAAGCTGCTTACTCTTAGGTATCTGTTATTCTTGCCAAGAATCTGTAGGCTTGCAAATCGCCAAAGCTGCATGTGTTGAAAGAGCAAAGTAAGCACTGTAGAAAGGCAATTTTTGCATTTTCTTTTTGTTCGGCCAAAGAGATTAGACATAGATGGAAAACACTTTCCTCCTTAGGGGGAGGATGACCACAAAACTAGAGCAATTTTTTTTTTAATTTGAAGAAAATATATATAAGCACACACTGCGTCGTGTGTTTGAAAGACGCAAAAATCTTAATTATTTTGGGATTTTTCTCAACAGTCTGTATCTTAATGCCTTTGGGGGCACTTCCCTCCCAGGCTGTAGTGCGAGGCAGATTGGAGTTGTCCCTCTTTTAAGTTGCAGCCTGGCTGCCAAGAGGTGAGGCACCTTCAGGCTTGCCCCCCCTTGCAGCACCCTGCATAGGCTCCTGGTGTGAAACCAGCCTATTTCTAGGATATTTGGTCTGTTCTGGGCTCAGATGCATGGGGGGAAATGTTTTGCGGAAGGTTTCTGGGCAGTTCCAAAGGAGAGGAGAAAGTATGCGTTGTTTAGAAATGGTGAGCCTTGAGCCCAATTGGTGAAGTATTGTGTTTCATTGTAGCAGCCGTTAGTTGTACGATGAATTGCCAGAAGTGGTTGCTTGTGTTTCATCCTGTGGGTAGTAAACACTACAAGGGTGAACTACGAGAGTCTCTGGAGGCCTCATGCTACTTATTTTATCACTGCAGTCTAGTTTGTTCAACTCTGGTTTAAATGGGACAGAAAACGCCATGTGAGTTCACAGCTTGCCTGTGCATATGCATGCTGTGGAAAATGGGAAATCTTGCTCTCCTAGCTTTCTGCTTAGGACCAAATTTGGTTAGCATTTAGCAGGAAATTGCTTTAGACATGACAGTTAAGATAGGGAAGGGTTGCAGAAATTAATATTTTTAACTTGTGACTGTGCTGAACCTGTTGGTGAGTAACTTGTGCTCCTTGTGCCTCTGTTCCCATTTAAAAATGCATATTACAGCACTTCCCTGTAAGAAAGCTGTGGGGAGAAATCCAGATAGTGATTGTGAGGTGCTAAGGTATCACTGCAAAGAAGCTATTTAAAATCATAGATATATGTAAAAAGCATTGTTTTTCTTCCATAGTTACTAGAGAATGTAATCCAAATGATGGAAACCTGTGGCTTTTGTGGACAGCCTTTACACCTCCCAGGGAGACCCTGGTTATTGGAAAATTGTGTTTCACCAGGTGTTATTTATTTATTTCATGGTTGTGGAAAGAGATACCAAATACTTGGGGGTTAATTAATCCTTGATCAGTATCTGCAGGCAGAGTGGAAGCTCTGGAGGAAGGTGTAGAGGGCTGCGGGGCACCCAGCAGTAGGCTTGATGAAGGCAAGTTAATTGTGTTGTGTGCCGACATGGTAATCATGATATACAGTATTGGTCTTCACTCAGGTCGGTGGTGAACAGGACCTAACAGAGTAAAACAACGCATTACTCTGTCTGCTTTCCAAGGGTAATGGCAAGTATGTTTAGAATCTGGAAATAAAAATTATGCTTCCTGTCTGCTGAGGAGCCATGGCAGGACTTCGACTGACTTGAATCCTGACAGTAAATCTCTCCTTTGACAGAAACCTGTCAGAGGCTATTAGCCTTCAGGTTTCTTCCTTGTGAAGCTCTTCTGTGCCCAAGGCTTTAAAGACATGGTGTGAAGCTCCTCCTTGGGTGAGGGAGCGCAGTCCAACTCCGGCCTTGCCTTTATGTGGTTTGAATGAGCACCCAAGGGCTGGAGCAAAGCTTATGTGACATTTGCCATGCAGGTGGAGTCGGTTCTTCATGAGTGTCTGTCTCCTTTTCCCTTTCCCTCCCCCAACTGAATTAGTTAGAGAAATAGTTTATGATTGGGCTTTCTTTTAAAAAATGTTCTTAAGAAGCTTTCAGTTATGTAAAAATTGCTACCCAACAGTGATTGTTGAGAGAGATCTAAAAGGTGTTTCAGAGTGTATGTACGTATTTATTCATTGCTACAATTAGGCTTTTTGTTTGTTTGTTTTTGCATAGGTATTAAATGGGAGAATAATATATAAGCAGCAGAAGTATGTTAAAAAGAAAAATCCACAATAATTTTTTTGTTTTCCTTCAACAGACGTACATTGGCAGTGTGGTGATATCGATAAACCCCTACAGGTCTCTACCCATTTATACTCCGGAGAAAGTGGAAGAATACAGAAACCGAAACTTCTATGAACTCAGTCCTCACATGTAAGTACAGTGAAGAAGTTTTAGTTTTCATTCTGTCCTGAAACAGGTGGTACCAGCTGTCTCTCTCATAAAAAGGTCTGTGTTGATTAAAGCAAACAAAACAGAAATTACACCACTGCTCCCCTGAAATGAATTTTTATTAGTTCATCCTTTATTTTAAAGAGAAGTCAAGATGAGTTACTCTTTCTGTTTCATGTATTTAGATCCTGGTCATTTCAGAACATTTTCCTGTCAATTGTTAGCAGTAGTCTTTATTACTGTATTGTAAAGTAAGTAGTCTGTTTTCGAGGAAATCTGTTTCTTTCAAAGTCCAGATTGCCTTGTGAAAGCCTCTACGTGTTAAAAATGTTTGAGTCATATAGTGTTATTTTTGATATCTGAAACTCTTGATTTCTCTTTGCACAATGCAAAAAAAAATGAAGAAACCCTCCTGATGAGTGAGAAACGTAGTGGATATGTCTGAACGGTAACTGTAGGAAAATAAACGCTTGGTCTCCTCTCCTCTGTGCTGGGTGGAAATGAGCCCATTCTAAGAGGGCAGCCAGAGTGCCATAAATATATAATGCAAATTTTAAGGCTAAAATATATAGCATATATACAGATGTATAATATTGCAAAATAGGATTTGCATATGATGTAAATTCCAAGTCTAAATTTAGGAATAGAAGGCTGGGAAGTGGGTATAGTCTCTCATTCGGACTTCCATTCACCTTCTGTAATTCTTCTGCAGGGGTGCATATTGCAAAGAAGTCAAAGGCCTTGCCTTGTGGTTATAGAGAACTGACACCACCCGTATTATTTGTGCCTGGTCAGAATTATTGAGAGTAATGGAACATGGTTAAGCCTTGTCCATAATAGGACAAGACTTTGATCAGAAGTGTGGGTGGTATGGCTGAAAATGAGGTACCTTGTCTTCAAGGCCTGTATGTTGCAGTAATCATTTTATCTTGTTAGACATTGTAGTGGTGAGATTAAAGCCAGCTGTTCCTCTCCTCTTCATCTGTAACTTTTCCAGATACATTGGCTGAAATGCAGACAGCCAATTAATGAGATTGAATAAGCTTCTGGTGGTTCTTGGCCCTCTTGGACCTGAACTCTGGCTATGTTCAAGTTTTCTTTCTTCACAGTTTTGTTTAGCAAGCACAATTGCTTGCTAAATTAACACAGTTGCTTGCTAAAAGAACTTTCTGCTCTGCTAACTTTGTTCAGCTACATAAAATTTGCTGTCATATGATGGAGGATTTTAAAAATAAAATCTGGGAGTTACAGTTTGTCTGACATTCTGAAAGACAGTACTATGTACTTGGTTAGATGTTGAACCAAATACACAGTAATATATTGATCTCCACATTTTTCCATCTCTCTTGAGAGGTGGTTTTCTAGAATAGAAGTGGTCAACAGTCATTCTTGTATGTATTATGAGAGTCTTAACTTGGTAGAAAAATGTTTCATAAACATCGTTCATCACTAATGACAGTAACTGTATGGTCAGGCTGCCATCTCAGAGCAAGAACTTCTGAGTCCAAACACTAGAAATCCACTTTAAGAGCAGTAGTTTGAAGTGAGAAAATGTTGAATTTTAACTTATGCCAGGAGATCTCAACTGTGTGATAGTAATGGATTTTCCTTGCAAGTTTGGATAGAGTGCCAAGTCATGAAAAGTGTAAGACTAATTTGTCTTGGACAGATATGATCTCTCCACAAATTTTCTTTATTTGGCATTGCTTCTGTATGAAAATTTTGTTTTCTGACACATGCTAAATAGACAACATATCTCTAAAATATAGGATTACGAAACAATCTTTGTTAGGGTTTCTTTTACAGGTACAGTGTTTTCTTTTCAAACTGTAGGAATATAAAATGGTCTTACTTTATGGTGACCTTGCTTTCCTGCCTACCTCTCTGTAGATGCTTATGAGAACTGCAGAATCAAGGAGTCACTTTTGTCTCTGCTAAAATTGGAAAACTTCTCACCATCTTTAAAAGATACTTTTAAAATATTGTAGTTGTATAAAATAAGTGCTATGTAGGCTGCTTTACGCCATCTCTGACAAGCCTAAAAAACTTTTCATCCCCTTTAATATATAGTGCCTTTTGCTGTAGCCTAAGAATTCATGCCAGTCCAGTTGTTCACTCTGTGAACGTAGAGCTGGTACTTGAATGCTGGTTAATAGACCACGAGGTGAGCTTACAGGGTGACCATATGGTCCTGCTGCAGCCAAGCCTAGGCTGATCACCAACAGGGTGCTTGCCCTACCATACTGGTCAGTACGGGCCAAGAACTGGGTTTGGGACAGAGCCGGCATCATCCCAGCCTTGGAGCTTGCAACTAATTCTAGGGTTGACTGATCTTGGGAGTAGCAGACCACTGTTAAAAGCAGGGTTCAGACATATCTGGGGAGGTTGCTACACTTCCACAGAGACCTTGCAATCTTCAAGGTGGTTATTTTTTAGCTGCACAGGAACGTTTAATGAAGAGATGCTGTGAGACAAATTGCAATTTGTGGTATTTCTTCTGACGTGGGGGTGAAAAAACCCACAGTGATTTGTGGAGATGTACATACTTATTTTTCTTTGATGTGTAAATCTCCGTTGAGCCATGGCCTCTTCAGAAGACTTGATTGTGGGTAAGCCCACTGTACTATTTAACTGTGCTTTGGGAAAAGACTTTGGTCCTTATTGCATAATCCTGAGCAAAGCAAAACTCTTGACAGTTTATAAGGAAACTAATGCCTATGACCTGGAAAGTGCGTCTAGAAATAAAATTATATATAGTGTGTTTCTTATTTCAGCATCTCCTTTGTACAAATAATCAATCTAATTTTTCTACTAGTGCTAGCTAGAAAAATGCAAGCAATTTATTGCAGAAAATTTCTAGCAGTGGTTTGGTTTGAGATTCCTATAGAAACCAGGTCTGTATGGCACCAAAACTCTTCCATCAGAAATAAACGTGCTGTCACCTGTTGGCATGATAGCTCATATTCTCCAAGGTCTGTCATTTTGGAGAAAACATTCAGGTTTGGGAATCCCAGGTTTTAAGCATCAGCATCTCTGGAGCAGACTGCCATGGGACATTCCCCGAGCTCCAGCTCTGTCTGGGAGCTCCTGGGAAACGAGGAATCTAAATCATGTTTTGGTTATTTTCCAGTAGTTTCATATGACCTTCTGTCTGTGCTCGAGGTACGTGCAAGTGTTTTGACGTGATGGATTGGTATAGGGAGGATGTGTTTGAGAATGCCAGCTGTCCCAATAAAATAGCAGGCTTGGTGAGCAAATGAAAAGGGAAGGAAAATGAGAGAGAAGTATATAATGACATGAAGGAAATCCATACCTAGAGATTTTTTTCTCCATATATGGTCACTGAAGGAAACATATATTCATGGGAGTGAAAAATCTGTTGATGTGTTTTCTTAGCCCTAACCTGAAAGAGGAGGGGAGTGAGCACCTAGTCATCTGCTCTGTGTTTCCTCAAGAGCGTCCGTGAGAGTGACTGATGCTTTCAGTGACGCTAGCTAATATTTAATTGCAGGATTTGGTCAGGGTTCTATTTTTTTTAAGTGTTCTTTGGAAACGGGAGTAAGGCCGTGGACACATTTTGAATGGGCAGCCAAACTGAATTTCTGGGAGACAGTTTCTGGTCAGATGATTTCGGATAGTGTTATACCTGATAAAATGCGATCTAAGGGATTTTATTTTAATAGTTCATTCCTCTCTAAATACACCACTGTTGTTGTGGCACCATGTAATAAAGTATTACTTTTCTAGGTCTCCTGGAATGGTTGTTTTTGTAGTCACTGGCTATTTGCATAGCTGTAATAGGAAGTTTACCAAGCTTTTTAATTTTTTTTTTTTCAATGTTTTCTTAATCTTGCTGGTTTTGTCTTTATCTGCAAGGCAGGATCAAACTTGTCTCTGACTTGACAGGGCAGAGTATGACATTTCAGTGTTCAAACAGTTTGCTTCTTGTTTTGTGCAGTCCTTAGACTTCTGTTGTGTTCTTTCTGTTGGTGTAATTACTCTATCAGTTGATGTAATTGCTGTTTTGCTTACCTTGTAGGTAATCTAGACATGAGAGAGAACCAAGCTGTCTATCTTGCTAATTTACATTGACTTCCACCCGTGACAAAAGCAGCTGCTGGCATCTTTGAAGTGAAGGCAATAGGAAATAAATGACTTATTGTACCATTTATTTGTAACCGTCGTGACGTATCGCTTTCCTACCAGTAACAGATTTGCTTTAAGGGACTGCCGAGTAGGTGCTTTCTTGCATTTCGTATCTTAACATTGGCTCCAGGCTACTAGCAGCTCTCCGTCTCTGGGAGGCAGGGTGGCATGGGGCTTTTTGCTCCCCTTCCTGTTCTGAAACACCTTACCTGCTCACTTTAGAAGAATCATGGATTATTTAAGTTGAGGGGCAAATAGAAAGTGGCAACTGTACTGCTAGGGGCAAGCTACAAGCAAATAAGAGTTCAGAGTCAACGTGCATTTTTTTTAGCTATGCACTGGAGTATTTATGGTGAATAACGGGGACAGCAGGAAAATATCTGGAGAAGGGTTTTATCAGACATCTATTGCATTCCACTTAGACAATTTTGCTATGTAGTTTATTTACTTGCTATTAGTTCTTTTAAGTCAAGTATTTCTGAAGAGACAATAGTTTTGCATTAAAAGCTTTCAAATTCAGAGAGACTTAAACTTTAGCAGGCAACTCCTGAAAACCAGTTTGCCTTTATGTAGGATACAAGCGCAGAGATATCAACCTGATGCCTATTAAAATGCAAGAATGAGAAACTTATTAATGTTCCCCATTTCAGTGATAAACTTATTAATAATTATTGGAACAAATCATTATTGTTGAACCTCATGAAGTTCAATGAGGCCAAGTGCAAGGTCCTGCACATGGGTCGGGGCAATCCCAAGCACATATACAGGCTGGGTGGAGAATGGATAGAGAGCAGCCCTGAGGAGAAGGACCTCGGGGGTTGGTTGATGAGAAGCTC